GTCTTACCTTCTTTGTGAAGCCTTCCCCAGAGAGGATCTACGTGGTAGAAGGAGCATGGCTTCGGACTTAGGACTTGTGTTCACATCTTGGCTCTGCTACCTATGTGACCATAGGTAAGACATTTCATCTCTTTGTCTTCACAATGTCTAAAGTCAGTTCTAGTTCTAAATCCTATTAAGACATAAGTGTGTAAAAATTGCCAGTGGGGTTATTAGCTTATAGTAGGTAGAACGTGTTTCTTAGTGGTTTTTTTTTTAAACATAAGACTTGTCAGTTTTTTTTGTCAAGTTTTCTGGTTGGTTGCAGATCTTGCTGTAGAATGAAACCTTTGTTGGTGGGAACCAGGAGGATGAGAGGGACCATTGTCAAAAAGTGAGAACATGCTTATGTGATGGGGAAGTGGGATAGCAGCCTTCACAGGGGCAGGTGGTAGACAGGCGTCCAAGAAGAGATAAACAAGCATTCCTCTGTGTGGCTGAGGCTCTTGACTAAGTGTATTATGGGCATGCTTTTTGGAGAGATCTCAGTTGAGAAGCCTGAGTTAAAGAGTATATAAGGTTAAACTGAGTAAGTATTTATAGACTAGCTACTGTATATATGCTAGGGGTCTTTCTAGTTATCTCTGGAGCTGTCACATGCTCTAAGAGTGATGGAATCTGGACAAGTATAGGATCAGAGACAGAGTCTAAGCTGTCTTAAGAAGAGCCTATCATACTCAGTGATAACTAAGGCTAGACCTATGTATCAGTACAATGAAAAAAAAGAGAAAAGGGCCCTATTTGCGCGAAAGTATTATAGCACCTCTTTTCATAGTGGCAAAGAACTGGAAGTTATGGGGGTGTCTGTCAGTTGGGGGATAGCTGAACAAATTATGTTATGTGATTGTAGAATATTATTGTTCTGTAAGAAATAATGAATGGGCTGTTACAAAGAAACCTAGGAAGACTTGTATGAACTGATGCAGAGTGAAATAAGAAGAGAAAGGAGAACAATTTATAGTCTAATAAAAAGAGCTTATCCTCCCAGACTCATCTGTACTAAGAATAGTGACATCTCCACCTAGGGGAGTTACCAAATATGACCACCAAAGAAATCTAGGGACTTAAGAAATTAAGTCATATACGAGACTTCCCTTGGGCATCTTCCCAAGGGTCATGGTGTTTAGAGAAATACACAGAGAAATTTACTTATTTCCAGAATAGGTTTTGTTGATATATTCTGTCACCATATTATCACATGAATCTCTCCCAGAGAGTCATCACGTATGACAAATAATATTTTTTGTAGAGGAAAAAAGGTCAGCATAATTGATTGATTGAAAAAATTCCAAAAACGTGTGCAGTTTGTAACACTTTATAGAGAGAAATTTAGACACCAGGAAAGATTTTTAGCAGTGTGTTGTGGTAGAAAGAAATCTGAATTTGGAGTCTGAGGATTTAGATTTATAGCCTGACTCTGACATTTTTTAGCTCTTCAGCCTTGGGCAAGTTATTTTACCTCTGTGGCATTCACTTTTTCAGTTTGTGAAATGTGTGTGTGCTTAGAGGAAGAGAAGGTGTTATACTAAATGACCTCTAAGGTCCCTTTCAGTTTTATGTCCTATGATCCTATGATGAATAACAGGCAAACATCAGCAGGCAAGATCAAGATTAGTTATTGTTATCTATTTGGAATGTGTGTGGGGTGGGGTGGGGGTGGGTAATTGGGGTTAAGTGACTTGCCCAGGGTCACACAGCTAGTAAGTGTCTGAGGCTGGACTTGAACTCAGATCTTCCTGACTCCAAGGCCTGTGCTCTATCCACTGCACCACCTAGTTGTCTCCGTTTCTGTTGGGTTTTAGATATGAGAATATGCCCAGTATCATCCTGTTTACTTTTTTAGGGAGGCAGCTTGGTATACTAGAAAGAACACTGGAGTTGAAATCAGTCCTGGGTTCAAATGCTAACTTTGCTTCTTACTTGCTTGTGTGATCTTGGGAAAATCACTTCATTTCTCTGGACCTTGGTTTCCTCAAATGAAGACACTGGACTAGATGACCTGACCATTCTAGTCTCACGTTTCTTCTACCTTAAACCTCTAAGTACTTGATACCTCCTAATTGCTATCATGGTAATTCCTGCAAAGTATCTCCCTGCTTCTCTTGGGCATGATACCTATGCCTATTACTACGCTGGCCATGGTGCTGACATCTATGAGGAACATTTCTTATAGGATATGGTACATGTCCTAGAGGATTCTTGTTGTGGATTGGGGAAAAGGATATACACTCATGAATAGATCACAATATAAGATGGTAGGTAAACATGATTAAATGATAAAAAGTATGTTTGAGAAAGAGGATTTGATGTACTTTAGAGATGGAGGTCTGAATTCTTCAGTAGATGTGGAAGACTTTTTAAAGGGGTAAGAATTGAGCAAGAGTGTGAAGGGTAGACAGGATTCAGAGTCCTTTCTGAACTTTTTGGTCTTTGCTCTGCTTTCACAATCCTCAGTCAAGTGACCTAGCAATCTGGCTTATTCTGTACCCTATAGGAAACTCTGATAGCAGTTTTTGTTTTTCAGTTTTGGTCTGATTCAGTATTTCCATAAGTGCTTCATAAATACTTCCAGTTGCAGTCTCAGTGCCCTATAATTTGAATATAGAAATAGCAGAGGCCTCTTTCACCTTGATAACCTCCCATAACCCTCATCTTATTATTCTTATTCCTGAGCCCTGTTGTCTTAATTGAATTTGGCTGTTGTCCCAGATCTGACTGTGAACATATTAAAACTTGAAAAGCTATTGTAATTCTTCAGATAGTCAAATAAATAGGCATCAATTTTTTTTAATTTTTATTTTTGTAAGCAACACTTATCAACAAAATTCATTGGTTCCTCTTACCCCCACCCTCTTGCAATCCCACTTGGATCCATTTCCCACAGTTTCTAAGTTTGAAGATTAATGCAGTCTCTTTCCTCTTTTAGTCATTCTATGTTGTAATAATATGTGTCATTCCCCCAGTGGGATAAGGAGGCTGTTCAACCTCTGAGGTTACCAAACTCTTACAATAAAAGTGTAGTCATTTTGAATTGGGTCCAGTTCATGGCTTGTCACTTCCCAGCCAGGGTTATTGGGAAGGGGAATGTGGCATAGGCTGAGCTGGTCACTCTTGGGATGTTCAGCTTTATGTACTGAAGCACAGGCATGGTGACAGGTTATTCTTTTTAAGGGCTCTCTAAGTTAACACTGTAAGTTGAATCATATTTTTACTTAAGAAATAGTATTACAATAGAGGCTGCGTCCCTGAACAAAGGCTTAAAAAATCTTACTTTTGTTGATATATTTTACTTTTAAATTACATTCATTTCTAAATATATCCCTTCTTTCTTTCTATCCAGTGACCCATTTGTCCCTTGTAACAAAGATTAAAAGGGGGGAAAAAGAGGTTCCAAAACAATCAATGTATTATCTGTGCCTGATCATACACACAATATTCGATAGCCATGTTCTCCTGCCTCTGCAAAAAGAAAAAGAGAATAATTTCCTCCATTCTTTTCCCAGACAAAATTTGATTGTTATTATATAGCGTTCAGCATCAGTGTTTTTTGGGCTTTCTGTTTTTGTTGTTATTTACATTATGTTTATATTTTCCTGGTTCTCTTTATATCAGTTGACATAAATCTTGTGTTTTTCTGAATTCTTTGTATTGGTTCTTTCTTACAGAGTAAAAATATTGTATTACATTCATATATCACAAATATGTTTAGCCCAGTTGATAAAAATCAACTTTTTATAGATATGCTCAACAAACGAGCTCTTAATGGGCCATCTTCAAGCAATGCTTCAGTCTATATCTCCCCCTGGAGCCCTTGACTCTCACTGTGGAGACTTGGGATCCCAATTGGTGAAAATTCCTTACTTAGCCTGACCCAGCTCTAACATGCTGCTCCCCTGCCATCTTCATGCAGTGCCTCTTAGGGCATTCCATCTCCTTTTCACTCCCCTTCCTCTAGATCTGGAAAAAAATAATCAAGTCACCATTCCTATGGTTCCACTCATTATCCCTGGGAGTTCTCTGACCACAATCTTCCTCTATACCCACTTTTGTTGTTGTTCAGTTATTCACTTACGTCAGATTCTTTGTGACCCCAAGGACCACAGCATTCTCCTTCACTGTCTCTCTAAGTCTAAGTTCATATTCTTTGTTTCCATGAAACTTTCTATCATCTCATCCTCTGCCGTCCTCTTTTCCTTTTGCCTTCAATCTTTCCCAGAATTGGGGTCTTTTCCAGTGAGTCCTATCTTCACATTATGTGGCCAGACTATTTAAGCTTCAGCTTCAGTATTTCACTTTCCAGCGAATAGCCCAAATTAATGTCTATAATTACAGACTAATTTGATCTCCTTGTTGTCTAAGAGACTCTCAAACATTGAGTTCCACAGTTGAGAGTTCTGTAAAATTATTCCTGGGGCTGTGAGGTTCGACAGTTGGTTATTTGCTTTCTTTTCTTTTCTTCCTGGTTCATTCTTGTTAAACTTTGTTTACAAATCAACACGTCATGCAGATGCCTGTCACTTTTTAACCACTTGAAATGTACCTGCATTTCCCAGTCGCTTACTTTGTCCCAGCTCCCTTGTTACCCTGACAATAAAGGGGGCAGGAATTAGGATGATACAGCCAAATAAAAGTGGAAATGTGATTTATTGTGGAGGCCAATGCTGGGCATATAGAAAGAAACCCCTGGCTTTGTCCCTAATTTGAAGTCAAGATTGGCATGGGCCCAGCCCCAGGTAGAACCTGGGCAGCATGGCCCTTAACACTCACTAGCTATATGGTATGCAGTAGGAAGTAAATTGCTTCACTTCTGCTTGGACCACCTGTCTCATAAAGTTTGTAACTCCATGACACTTGTAAATCACTATAGAAGAGTCAAGTTAGTCAATGTTTATTAAGTGCCTACTGTATGCCTAACTGCCAAGACTACAAAGAAAGGCAAAAACAGCCCCTGCTCTCAAGGAGTTGGCAGCCTGATGGACTAATTATTATCAGAGTTTGTTCTGATCCTTGGACTCCCTAGATAGAGCTTTTGTGTGCTGAATGGTGAGGCTGATACTAAAACGAGTAAGACACTGGCCCTGCTCTCTCCAGGAAGCTCACAACCTGAGAAGTTATGTTGGGGAGGAGAGGTAAGACAGGAGAAAAATTAACATAGAGAAATGTGAAAGGGTGGGAAAAGTAATTAAATATTCAAGGGTTTGAGGATGAAGTGACATCCAGGAAAACTGTCTAGAGATGTGAATCATAGACTCTCAGAGTTGAAAGGAAGCAAACTTCTGTGTAAATATGAGTTCTGTTTGTTTCCATGTATTTAATTCAAGACTTTACCATAGGATCATAGATTTAGAATTGGAATGGATCTTAGAGGCTATTGAATTAAACCCCCTGGCTTTATTGATGAAAAAACTGATAAAGATAAAGATAAACAGCTAGAGAGGTTAAATGATTCTTTATTTCTCACCAGGCTGTAATCCGGATTCCTCCATCATGAAAACTCTTCATCCTGGGAGATTTGCTTCGCCCTGGAATTCACACCTCAGAAGTACCCTTAGCCCTTGGGGCCTCTGACTCTGATTGGGCAGCTTCTCCCAGAACCTTTGTTTAAGGAGGGTGTCCTGGTTGGCTGCAGTCTGGATTTTTCCACCAAGTCCTCCTGAGGTACTTTCTTCTCCCCTCTCCCTTCAGCTTCCTTTTCTGCATTGTGTCTTCCATTAGAATATAAGCTCTTCTGAGGCTGGGACCACTTTGCTTTTTGTTTGTATTTGTGGTCCTACACAGTACAGGTTTGAGAAATGCTTATTGACTAACTTGGTCACATAAGTAGTAAATGTCTGAGCCTACATTTAAACCCAAATCTTCTTGACTTCCAACCCAGTGCCCCCCAAATAACAGAATCATCTAGAAGCCCAAATCTAAGTAGTTGACCAGTCTGATGAATTTCACCTCCTTGATATTTTTTGCATCCGTCTTTTAATCTCTAGTCGGAGATATTGCTCTAGTCCCTGGCCCTCATCACCTCTCCATTGGTCTAGTGTGAGAGTGTCTTCACCCTGTATCCAATCTCTACCTCCTCTAATCTTTCTTTCTTACAGATGCCAAATTGATATTCCTAAAGCCCACCGGTATGACCTTATCACCCTCTGGTCAAAAAGTTCCACTGGCTCCCTATTGCCTCAGGGATAAAATAGGAACTTTTATTTGACACTTAACACTTAGTATTAGACTGAGATCTACTTGAGAACAGGAACTGTCGTTTGCCTTTCTTCATAACCCCAGCACTTAGCTCAGTGCCATAGCAAGCTCTTAATAAATTCTTACTGACTGACTGATATAGAATATGTTATTGCTCTAGTGCCCTGTTCTTAGCTTGTGGAGAGGCCGAGGGAGAGTTTTAGCCCTGATCTTACCTACTTTTAACAGTGAATCAGTGGAAAAAATTGGAAGGTGGAAAGTTCTTCCTGTCCCTCCTCAAATTTTACCCAGGATTCTCCCCAGTTAAAAGCTATCTCCAGTATCTAGCACAATGCTTGAATACAATACTTGCTTGATAAGTATTGTTAAATTTGTTTTTCAGGCACAGTTATTTTTGTGACCCATGTCAGTATATGATGAATGTAATGTTTGACTGCCTAGACATTTTAGCTAGAAATTGTCTAAGTTTACACCCACACACACTCACTCTTCATATTTCCAGGTCTTCTCTTTTGGTAGAAACAGGTAATGGGAGAGCAGGGGCATGGACAGGGTGGAATAACTTCTCTGTTAGTGGATAGTAACCACATGGCCCAGCTCCAGTGGTCTGACATGTTCTCTGCAAAGGAGGAAAGAAAAGGCACTGATGTGAAGCTCTAAGAGAGAATGTTCTGTTTTTTCTAGGCCTAAGTGTCTATGATTTAGCTCATGGACACACTCAGTGAACTGAGCAGAGTAAAATACTGACTCTTCTGTATTCTCTGGCAAAGGAAGAAAGAAACAAAAGATGCAACCATTCAGCTTAATTTTTGGAAAGCTTCAGGCTTCTCTGAATAGGGAAAAAGCAGGAACTGCTCTGATACTAAGCTAGACCCCACCTTCTTGTTACTTTTCCCCATTTGGTCTCTTCTTGGGCTTGGTTTGCTGCACTGGAAGCAGAAATAGAACATGTGCCTTTGGACTATGAATCTAGGGCTTTTCTCCACCCCTGTGCTAGACCATTCTCCCTGGCCATGAATTTTGGAGTAACTCTCCTACTTAGTGGTCAGTTGGTAGCAATGGGGCTCTATTCAGTAAGACACTGTCACTTTTTGGAGGGACTGTGGGAGCTCTTTGACTGAACTTTGGAGTACCAACAATTAGTACCAACAGTCTCAGAGGTGGAAGGAACATGGGAAATGACTTATCTCATCTCACGCATACCAAACAGGAATCCTCTGTATAACTATCCCTGAAAATGGATCGTACAGCCACCACTCAAAGAATTCTGGTCAGGAGAGGGTCTCCTGCTTTCTGATGCAGGCCATCCTGCTTTTGGAGACCTCTCATTCTCAGGAAGTTTTTCTTTAGGGTTGAAATTGGCTGTTCCACAACTTCTTTACAGTGTTCCTTGTTCTGCCCTTGGTAGCCAAACAGAATAAAAATCTGTCTTCAACTGTTGATCACTGAAATACTCAAAGGCAGCTAATTTGCCTTCCCCTGCCCACCCAGTCACTTCTTCTCCAGGTTAAATTAAAAGTCCTTAGTTCCTTCAAATGACAGTTGTATGGCATGGTGGTTGCCCTCATGGACATGTTCCTGTTTGTTAGTGTCTTTACTCAAATATGGTGCCAAGAGCTGGTATAGCTTTTTCCTCCTTGTTTGTTTGTTTAATGCTGACTATCTTAACCTTTTATTTACTAACTCATTTTTTGTTTATATAAAACAGCAAAGAGCCCCTGAGGTGGGGGGAGACAAGGAAGCTTACTTCAGACAAGTCAAAACACTACCACCTTGACCACCATCTCCCTTCAGAAACCGTTGGAGACAATCCCAGGAGCCTTAGGAATAGTAGCGCTTGTGGCCTAGTGTCCACAGTTATCATCCTGGGAAGGAATCCCTATGGAGATGCAGCTTGGTAACTGCTCCTTTGGGGGCTACAGATGAAGCTGTCAAAGACCCAAAAGAAAAAGTTCTTGGCACTGCCGAATGGCTCAACATCAGAAATGGATACAATTTTATGAGTGCAATTGATGTGAAAGACAAACCTTAAATTCATTCATTTATTACCATGTTGTCAGACTCCGGAATTTTTACACATTGTATTTATTCATACATTTTGCTTTTTATTTTATTCGATATACATCTTTTTTTTTTAAATTTAACTTTCATGAAAAAATGTTGGTTAAATGTTTTATACACATCAATAAAGTCACTGTTGTCCTGTAGCACTGTAACTGAAACACTAGTCTCTGTAACCCAGTAACTCATTGAAATGCCTTTAACAGTTGCATTATGGTCTGTCCTGAGGACTATGGGATTTTTCTTTTTCTTTTTTTTGCGGGGGGCGGGGGTATTTTCCATATGGCTGGCGGCTGATGTGTTGTTTCCCCCATTAGAATGGGAGCTCCTTGAGGGCAGGGGCTGTCTTCCTTTTCTTTCTCTATGTATCCCCATTAGCACAGTGCTTTACACATAATAGGCATTTAATAAATGCTTTTTTCTACTCATTCATTCAAATAAATATTTTTATGCATATTTTCCTCATCTTCTCATATGTTTTCCCCCTTTGTCTGCACTTTTTGTCATTTGCCCTCTGTGGCTGATTCTTTTTTGGGAACTGCTAGAAGAGTGAGCTATATCCAGGTAACTGAAACTCTAAGAAACCTGAAGCAGTGAGTACCGAAATTGAGACCCTTGTCCAGCTTGTCTGCAGGACCAGGTGATTCTTTATGGGATAATAACAAAAGGAAAACCAAAAAAAAGGTGTTCAAATGTTCAAATTCAGAAAGTTCAGATGTCACCTGCCTCTTGCATTTTTCCGTCATCTGATTTTTTTGGTGTTTTGTACTCATCATGTCCTGACCATATTCTATTGTTTATTTTTGGTAGCATTCCCCAAGCCATATACAACATATCACCCGTGTACGGTATGGCCTTAAATAAATGTTTTTAAATGTTGACTTATCCCTCCCGGTGTTGACTACCTTTACCTCCTAATATTTTGTCACAACTAGCATCATAGATATAGAACTGGATGAGATATCAGAGATCATTTATTGCATAATCCTCATTTTACAGGTAAGGAAACTCAGCCCAGTAGTGGTGAAATGGCTTGCCTAAGGTCACACAGATAGTAAGCACTATAACTTGCATTCAGATCTAGGCTTTCTAACTGCAGCCTTGCTTTTTCCATCACAATTTGTAGCCATAGCTAGTTTTGTGCTTTATTTTTATACATGTTTGTTTTATTTAAGTCATCCTTAGACAATACAGTTTAAGCAAGAAGAGGGTAGACACAAAAAATCCTACCATGAGAACAAAATTAAAGCAGTGAGGTAAAGCATTATTATTAATAACAAAATAATAAATATTTTTAAAACATCCTTAAAGTATATCTGAAGGACTGAGTCCCAGACCTTTGAATACCAGTTTTACCTACACAGTCACTTACAATTTAACACAAAAGTTAGGTATAAAGAGAACTTGCATTTTCAGGAGTCCTGCCTCTTACTTAGATTTGAACTGGCATCTCCAGCCTCCCAGGTTGACAAGGGAATGGCAGGTCTCTCTGGTCACAGTTACACAAAAGCTAACTTCCTGTTGGAAGAAAATATATTAACAACAGATCACACACAGGTATTTTGTTAAATAAAATGACATGCCTGTCCCAAGGAGCATCTGAAAGCCCTCTGGTTATCCCCAACGGTCTGGGAAGTTTCATTAAGTATCTTAATGAAATGTCAGTTTGACAAAATGTGTGTTTAACTCATGTTTGCAAATTTTTCTTAGGATAAAGATGGTTTCTCTCCACTCCACTTCCCCCAAATGAAGCAGGCCCCTGGTGTTTGAATATGAAATGCAAACAAAAATTGGATCTAGAAACTATTAACAATCTCAGCAAAAACAAAGAAGCTTCATTTTTTCCTAGTGGTATCATGGGACTCTGCCTTTACTTTTATTTACATATTTTTTTAAGTCATATTGCTTACTTTCTCAATGGATGAGGGGAGAGAGAGAATTTGGAACTCAAAAAAAAAGGAAGAATATTTAAACTGAATCATTAAACTTTTTTCAGATGTGTGTCTGTTTTTGATATCTGACTAGCAAGTCTGTCATTCTTGGGGAGAGAGGAGGCCTGGGTTCTAGTCACAGTTATGTCATTAACTTAGTGTAGGAAAGGGGACAGTTACCACCTTTTCTGCTTGCTCCTGAATTTCATCATCTTTCAACTTGAGTGAATTGGAAAAGATAATAACTGACATTTATATATTGCCTTAAGCTTTGCAAAATGTTTTGCATATAATTTTGGGAATAACCAGAGAGCTTTCAGATGCTCATTGGAGCGGGCATGTCATTTTATTTAACAAAATTCCTGTGTGTGATCTGTTGTTAATAAACTCTTCCAACAGGAAGTTAGCTTTTGCATGTCATCTGATCCTCACAGAACTGAGAGATTCCATTATTTCCTCCTTTTTGTACTTGAGGAAACTGAGCCTGAGAGAGACTGAAGAACTTGCCCAGGATCACGGAGTATTAGAGAATGAATATTGTAATGAGAGGTGGACTTAATCTAATGAAGGTTTGAGGACCATGACTGATCCATTCAGTCTTGGACAAAGAGACTTATCTATACCCCATCTAAAATAATCTAGACAAAAGGGGAAATCCACTTCCACTCAGACACGTCTGACTAGAACACATGGGCTAGGATCCACCAGTTTAGCCGAACTAGAATTTCTTTACCTTTTGATCAGATGTGAATTTTCTCGGTTGGCTGCATCTAGCCCAATATTTCATCTTACCAGTCCTGCCCTTCAAAGACTAAGAGAGAAATAATCATTCCTTTCACTGTGATGCCTCACTGAGAGGGTACCTCTGACCTCCTTGTTAGCTGTAGCCTGTGATTTCTGTGGCTCCAAGGATGCTGTTCTGCTAAAGGATAGCTCAGTTGATGGTATTGTCTCCAGTGTCTGAAAAATAAGGTTATTCCAGGTTAGGCCAGTAACTAGAATAAGGCCAGGACCCTTGCTTCTCTTGGTATGGGCTAGTTCATTGCACTTTCCTAACTTTGTTTTATACCCAAAGGTTCCCTCATAATCCCAGGTATATTATCAGTTTGCATTATGGGTCTTTATAGGATCTCAGGGTTGAACTGTTTCTGCCTTTTTTGATTGATTTCATGCTCTCTTCGCTTGTATTCTCTTCCTTCCCACATCTTATATTTCCCATTCCTAACTCCTTCCTGACGCCTTCCCTGATTAACCCACTGTAATGTCTCCCTTAATTCTTTTCTGGGGCTTGTTTTCCATATCAGCCATTCAGTACTTAGCACATGATTGCTTAGTACAGTTATTTATCTTTTCATACAAGTGTGCCTTTTGTTGTAATCTAGAGTCCCAGAACTTCAGAGCCAGAAGGGACCTCCAAAATCATTGCCTAAAATTTTTAAGTAAAATGCTAGCAAGGAGATCACAGCAATATATCACAAGTATCATGCAATATGACCAAGTGGGATTTATATCAGGATGCAGGGCTGGTTTCAGTATTAGGAAAACGATCAGCATATAGATAAGGAAACCAACAGAAATCATATCAATAGTTGCAGAACAAAGCTTTTGACAAAATATATCACCCATTCATATTAAACACTAGAGAGTATAGGAATAAATAGAACTTTCCCTAAAATGATAAATAATACCTGTCTAAAACCATCAGCAAGCATTATCTATGATGGGGATAAGCTAGAAGCCTTCCAGTTTGGATCAGGGGTGAAGCAAGGATGCCCTAATTATCACTATTATTATTCAATATTGTGCTAGGAATGCTAGCTATAACAATAAGAGAAGAAATTGAAATTAGAATAGGGAATGAGGAAAGAAAAATCACTCTTTGCAGAAGGTATGATGATATACTTAGAGAATCCTATAAAATCAACTGAAAGATTAGTTGAAATAATTAACAGCTTTAGCAAGAATACGAGATAAAACCACATAAGTTATCAGCATTTCTGTACATTACTAAGTACAACAGCAAGAGATAGAAAAGGAAATTCCAAAAATAACTGTAGATAATGTAAAATACTTGTTGCTGTACCTGCCAAGACAAACCCAGAAACTATATGAACACTTTTCACACAAATAGTCAAAGCTGAACAAATGGAAAAATATCAGTTGCTCATAGTTAGGCGAAGACAACATAGTAAAAATGACAATTGTACCTAAATCTGCTTATTCAGTGCCATACCAATCCAACTACTAAAAAATTATGGAGCTAGAAGAAATAATAACAAACTTCATCTGGAAGAACAAAAGGTAGAGAATGTCAAGGAAATCAATGAAAATATGTGAATGAAGGTGGCCTAGCCATAGTGGATCTCAAACTGTATTATAAAAGCAGTAATCATTAAAAAAAAAAAGTCTGGTGCTGGCAAAGAAATAAGGTGGTGTATCAGTGGAATAGGTTAGGTACCACAAGACAGTAGTAAATGACCATAGTAATTTTGTGTTTGATAAACCCAAGGGGCCAACCTTTTGGGACAGAAACTCATTGTTTGGCAAAAACTGCTGGGAAAACTGGAAAACAGTATGGCAGAAACTAGGTATGGATCAACATCTCACACTATATGCCAAGATAAGGTCAAAATGGGTACATGATTGGGACATAAAGTATTCTGCTGTAAGCATGGAGAGCATGTAATAATTTACCTTGTCAGATCTGTGTGAAGAATTTAGAACCAAACAAGATATAGAGAGCACTACAAAATGTAAAATTGATAATTTTGATTATTTAAAATTAAAGTCTTTGCACAAACAAACCCAATGCAGCTAAGATTAGAAGGCAAGTAGAAAACTGGGGGAAATTTTTTACAGTAAGTCTCTTTGTTAAAGGCCTAATTTCTCAAATATACCGAGAACTGGGTCGAATTTGTAAGAATATGAGTCATTCCCCAATTGATAAATGATCAAAGGATATAAACAGGCAGTTTTCAGACAAAGAAATGAAAATTATCTATAGTTACTATATGGAAAAAATGCTCTAGATCATTGATTAGAGAAATGCAAATTAAAGCAACTCTGAGGTTCCACCTCACACTCATCAGATTGGCTAATATGGTAGAAAAGGAAAATGATGAATGTTGAAGGGGATGTCGGAGAACTGGAACGTTAATGCATTGTTGGTGGAGGTGTAAATTAATCCAACCATTCTGAGGAACAATTTGGAACTAACAATGCCCAGAGGACTATAAAACTGCATACCCTTTGATCCAGCAATAGCACAACTAGGTCTGTATCCCAGAGATGAAGGGAGGGAGGAAGGAAGGGAGGGAGGAAGAAAGAAAGAAAATGTATTTGCACAAAAATATTTATAGCAGATCTTTTTGTGGTAGGAAAGAATTGGAAATTGAGGACATGCCCATCAATCAGAGAATGCCTAAATAAGTTATGGCATATGAATGTAATGGAATACTATTATTCTGTAAGAAATGACAAGTAGGATGACTTCATAAAAACCTGGAAAGACTTACATGAAGTGAGCAGAACTAGAATACTGTACACAGCAACAGCAATACAATGATCCAAGACAATCCCAAAGGAATCATGATGAAAAATGCAGTCTCCCTCTAGGGAAAAAACTGATAATGTCTGAATACAGACCAAAGCATACTATTTTTCCCTTTCTTTCTTTCTTTCTTTCTTTCTTTCTTTCTTTCTTTCTTTCTTTCTTTCTTTCTTTCTTTCTTTCTTTCTTTCTTTCTTTCTTTCTTTCTTTCTTTCTTCCTCTCTTTCTTCCTTTCTTTTTCTCCTTCCTTCCTTCCTTCCTTCCTTCCTTCCTTCCTTCCTTCCTTCCTTCCTTCCTTCCTTCCTTCCTTCCTTCCTTCTCTCTCTCTCTCTTTCTTCCTACTTTCTATCTTCTTTCCTTCCTTCCTGTTTTTCTTCCTTCCTTTCTTTTGTTCTCTTTTTCTCCCTTTCTTCCTTTCTTCTACAAAATGACTAACGTGGAAATGTTTTAAATGATTGCACACATATCACCTGTATCAGATTGCTTACCATCTCAGGGAGGGACGGATACAACTCAAAACTTTTTTTTAAAAAAACAACAAATGTTAAAAATTATCTTTACATATAATTGGGAAAACTATTATTTTTTTAAAAAAATTATTGCCTACCCTTCAACTAGTTCACAGACTGTAAGTCCCTTGAGAGCAAAGTTTATGTCTTAATATTTTTTTTCATATATGTAACCTTCATTTTAATTCATTTTTAAAATCTCCTACAAAGGCATCCCAAATGTCCTAAAAAGACATTTTTGAAACTGTCAGTGTTACTTTAGGAAGAAGAGCACCTATGAGTTGCTGGTGTAGCTGTCATTTTTAAAAATTATTATTTATCTTTTAACATTATTTTGTTTTAAAATTTTGAGTTACAAATTCTCTTCTTTCCTCTTGTTCTTCCCTCAACCACTGAGAAGGCAAGCAATATGATATTAATCATACATGTGAAATCATGCAAAACATTTCCATATTAGCCATATCACGCAAAAAATAAAATGAGAAAATTATATTTCAATTTGCAGTCAGAGATCACCAGTTCTCTCTCTGGAGGTGGAAAGTATTTTTCATCATGGATCCTTGGAAATTGTCTTAAATCACTGCATTGATCAAAGTAGCCAAGTTTCTCATGGTTGATCATTCCAACAGTGGTGTTACTATCACAAGTGTGTCTTACAATTCAATTAAATTCACTAAGCATTTATTTACTTTGTCTCTGGCATCTTTGACAGCAGTTATTCGGTGATGTGGTTTGATTGACTTGAAACATCACAAATGGATGCTTTTTCCATCCTTCCAAAGAACTGTGTTCCTATGATGATGCTATCAGTATTGGTTGAGAGAATGAATAAGTGAGTGGGTGGAGAGATGATGAATGTATGTGAAGCAGCCTGGTATAGGGACTTGAAGTTCTGGTTTCTCATCCTACCTTTGATACTTAGCATCTAGGTGAACTTGGGCAAGTCACTAGACATTTATGAACCCTTTTCCTCATCTATAACATGGGAATGGTGATATCTGTCGTGCCTCAGGGTTGGTGTGCCGACTGCCAGTTTCTGTTATTTCATCCTTTTGCCTTTCAGGGCTGTTCCAAAAGCAGCTTGCCAGCGTAGTAGCTGTTGCATCCGCCCTGACAGCTGCTGTTACTCCTTGTAGTTAAGAGCCTCAGATGTGGTTAGCGGTGGAGTGAGTGAACATATAGGAGATAAAATCCCTACTCTGGGGCAGTTGATCCATTTTGGCCCCAGCCTTTATTTCTGCCAGACTCTTAATGGGATCCAACCCAGCTCTCAGGGAAGAGGCAGGGGAGTATAGTGGAAAGAGGATTGTTTTGTTTTTTTTAGTCAGGAGACCTGGTTTGAGTTCTGGTCCAGTGCTTACTAGCTATGTGATCAAGGGTGACTCATTCCCATGTTTCTGGACCTTAGTTTCCTCTTCTGTGAAATGGGAATAATAATTTCACATTGTCTCACCTCTAATGGTTATGATTATAGTGCTTTCGGAAACTTAAAGTAGTATATCCATCAAATATTTGTTAAGTAGCACCAGGGATACAAGTACAAAGATGCAAATAATCACTTGCACAAGTTTCTTACCTTCTGGTAGAGATGACAAGTATGTATAAAAAATATATAATATAGGCATAAAAGTTTTTTTTTTAGTTTTCATTTTATTTTCCATAAGCCCACTTCCTCAGTTTAAAAGAAAAATAGAAAACAAAACCTTTGTAACAAATGTGTGTCGTCAAACACATGAGGGTCAGGGCATGAGGGATAATGCTGATGTTACAACCTGGAAGACTGGAGGGATGGTAGTGCTTTTGACAGAGATAGGGAAGCTTAGAAGAGAGGCAGGTTTGGTGAGGGAGGGAGAAGATGGTGACTTCGGTCATGGACATGCTGAATTGAAGCTGTCTCTGGGACATCCAGATTGAAATGGTAACTGGTGGAGGGGGACTGAAGCTTAAGGGGAAGCTTGGGACTTGTGATTTATGCAGTATATGTTTATGTAATGTGCATAGAGATGAAAATTAAACACGTGGGAGCTGATGAGGTTACCGAGATAGCATATGGGTGGAGAAGAGAAGGTAGGGGGGAGGATGGAACCTTGGGGAACAGTAACAAGAGATCTGATGAAAGAACAAAGGACAGAGAATTATCTGTCAGGCTAGAAGAGAACCAGGAAACAGTAGTGTTAAGAAAATCAGAGAAGAGTATCCGAGAAAGAAGACCAACAGTGTCAAATACAGCACATAGACTGAGAAAGGTGAGGTCTGAGGAAATACCATCAGATTTATTAATTAGGAGATCATTGGTGACATTTGAGAGAACAATTATGGTTGAATGGTGAGTTTGGAAGCCAAACTGCAAAGGATTGAGGACTGAGTATGAGGAGATGAAGTGGACCAGAAGGTGCAGACAGCTTTTTCAAGATGTTTGATAGAAAGGGGATAGGGATTGATCCAGGATGATAGCTTAAAGGGATAATAGTGTCTAATGAAAGTGTTTGTTGGTTTGTTTGTTTTTTTAAGGATAGGGAAGACTTGGGCGTGTTTGAAGGCAGAAGAGAAGGAACCAAATGCTTAGAAGAGACTGAAGATTCAAGAGAGGGGAGGTGATTTTGGAGGGCAGAGGACAGTGTAGAGTTGAAATGGCTAGTTATTGGGATGAAACTGGAGAGAGAGGAAGGTGATTCCAGAACAGAAGTAAAAGCCAGAGAGAGTAATTGGGCAGGGGGGAGACAGTGATTGGAAGTCTCTAATAACCATAGAAGGGATGAGGCTTAGGGAGAGGAAGAATGATAAGAGGATATAGAGAAATCATGTCAGAGTTTCCAGTTAGGGAAGAAGAACACTGGTAAGGAAGAGCAATGGGTAAAACAGAGTGAAGGAATTTTAAGGCAGTAGATGAATTGGGAGGCTAGGGAGCGTATAAATGGATATGAAATTTCCCTAGTATAAGGGCAGGAACTTCTACTATTAGTATCATCATCATCATCATCATCATCAGCATCCTTCTCTTAGCTCCTGGCACTCATTTCTTCCACCTGATTCTAGATCTTTTATTAATCGGGTTTCTGTACCTAGCAGTGGTGTATTACAAGAGTGCTCAATTTGGAGAACTCAGGTTCAATTCCTAGATTTTCCACTTACTACTTGTGTAGCACTACACCTTTCAACCTCGGTTTCCTCGTCTGTAAAACATGGGAATTGTACTCAATGATCTTCAGAGTCCCTTCTAGCTCTAAATCAATCATCGTTTTTATGTATCAGAGAAGATAAAAATGACATGCCATTTGTGTGGACTTGGTCGTTCCGGTTCTTGCTCTGTCCACCAACCACTCCCTTTCTTCCCTCTCCCCACCCCACCCTCCCTTGCTCTCCAATCCCATAAATTAGTGGTTTAGATTTTCAGAGACCATTAGTTAACACGGAAGGGATCTTAGCCACCATCTAGTCCAAGGAGGAAATGAAGGCCCAGAGAGCTCTTGTTGAGTAACTTGTCCAAGTTTGTATGCCTACTGAGTGACAAAGCTGGTACTGGAAAGGCAGCTCATTGGTAACTGGACTTGGAATCAAAAGAACCTGGGTTTGAATTCCAGCTCTGCTACTTAGTGCCTGTAGGTCTTTGGACAAGTCTCTTGTCCCCTCTCCTGTATCTGTTTCCTTCTCTGTAAAATGAGGGTCTCTGCCATCTCTAGATCTATTCTCCTATGAAATAGCAGTATGACCATGGGCAAAGCCTTTGACTTGTGTCATTCTCATTTTCCTCATCTGTGAAATAAAGAATTACCAAGGTCACTTTCAGCTTTTAAGCCCTATCTATGATTCTGGTTGGTGTTACAACTTTAATCACTGAGTGGGTTTGGGGAGTCACTTAATTTCTCTGGACCTCAGTTTCTTTATCTGTCAAGTGAGAGGGGTTGGATTCTGAATTTCTGATCCTGTCATATATTGGGGGGGCAGTGAGGGAGTTTGGGTAAGGGATCTTTTTACAAGATTTCTAAAGTCCTTTCTGGTTCTAAATTTCATGATTTTATGAAAACAGATCTTTAGACCTTTAACCCAGTGCTATTTCCATTATTTCCTCCTGTCTCTCCTCTGGGAGAAGATCAGGAAGAAGTTTCTTTTCTTTCAGGACTACAGAGACCAGAAAAATAGAAGAGCCAACTGGCCTCCAGCCCCTATGTTATTTGCCTCCCCCCATCCCTGCCTCATCCCTTCATGAGGCCAGCCAGCCCAATTGCTCTTACTGTTAGAAAGGATGTGAATGCTGCTAAGCAGTGTTTAAGCACAATTGCTGTTATTTTCAAAGGTCAGCAAAGTGCACCTGTGCTGTTGTTAGCCCATATTTACAGAAAGATGGGGAAAGGCAGTGTTGTGACTGTTATTTCTAGATACGAAGATAGGCTCAGCAAACATATCGGAGAAACAGGAGAGGAACTTTAGGGTGATGAGGAGGAGGGACTGCTAATTCGGTAATTCCATATAATTCTTTTTTCCTGCCAGACCCAATGGCCACTGATGGGTTTCTCAGATTTTAATGACAGCTGCTTGAGTTCACCAAGACTGACTCTATGATCAAGTTGAATTCCTCTTAGTGGGGGTAATACTAATAGGAATCAATCAACAAGCACTCATTAAACACCTACTATAGGTTAGGCACTATACTTAGAAGTTGGAATACAGTCCCTGCCCACAAGGGCCTTCTATTCTATCTAGGGAAAACATGTACATGAATAAGTATATTCAAAATATATATGAAATCAAAAGTAAATTTGGGATTGGGGAAGAAGGAACTAGCAGTAGGGTAGGATCAAGACTTTTGAAGAAAACAAGGGATTCTGAGGAGATTTGGGAATGTATCCCAAGTCTGCAGTACATCCAGTACAAAAACTGATGGGAGATGGGAAAGGATGAAAGGAGATGGAGGATGAAAGGAGATGGCAGATGAAGTATTGTGTGTGATATAACAGTTCCTATTTCTAGTCTTTTAAGGTTTACAAATCCCTTCTCAACCTTGTGAGGAAGAGAATACAAGCATTATCATATCTGTTTTACTCATGGGGGAACTGAGGCTGAACAGGTGAAGTGATTTGTTCAAGGTCTCAGCTCATTATCACTCAACCCCAACTCCTGATTCATTCTTTCCAAATAACAGGTTCCTTGTGAGGAAGCAGAAGTCTCTGGAAAGTGCTAGGTTCTTAGGAAATGATTATTGACAGATTTATTATGCTTGTGAGTGTGAACTTTTGCTTTTGTGTTTGTGTTCAGCAAAGTGCCTGGCACATAGTAAGACCTTAATAAGTAAGGCTTATTGATTAATTAATAGATTGCTGTGTGGTCTCCCACCTATTAAAATATGGGCTTTTGAAGGAAAGAGACTGTTTTATGTGTTGTCTTTGTGTCTAAAGCACAACTTTAGTAGTAGGGGCTTAATAATATTTGTTGAATGTATTGAATTGAAATTTGCAGAATAAGCCATATTTTTTGGACAGCTAATGAGGGAATTCATTTTTCTTGACTGTCAGGAAGACTCAATATTTCTTATTTCCAGTGGGGAGGGAGGTGAGAATAGAGAAGATATATGGGAACAGAGATAGGGTAGCTAAAAAAAAAATTTTTTTAAAGATGGTCAGTGAGATTTTTTTTTTAAATGCATAGAATGGAAGAAAGGTCAGAAAGAAGCACAGACAAGCAGGACAGATTTGAAAGCTACAGTATGAATTTATTTTATACCCAGAAAGAAAAGCAAATTGTACATAATACAGACCTGAACTTTGATGTAAATCCTCTTTTTCTTGGTTCTACTATGTATATGTAAATGCTAATTTTATTTGGTGGGGTTTTTTGGGGGGTTTTTTTTGACTAAGCCATGGGGTTAAGTGACTTGTCCAGCTTAGTGAGTGTTATGTGTCTGGGGTCAGATTTGAACTCAGATCCTCCTGACTCCAGGGCTGGTGCTCTATCTACTGTGCCACCTAGCTGCCCCTTGGTGTTTCTTCCAAATAAAAATAAAGTTTTTAAAAAAAGAAATGAAATGGATTTGATGAGGCGATCAGTTGAGAGGGAAAGAGGTGTCAAAAGGCATGGAGACATTGAGGTGGGGACAGATCAGGAGCCACGATGGAAATGGTCGTTCTGAGGTGGGAACCCTTAGTCCGTAAGAATGGTCAGTTGTATTATTTTTGTAGATAAATGTTACTGTTTATTTTCTGTGTTCATGTATGTATATCTCATCACTCCAGCTATAAATTTAGGCCCAGGGAGGTTGGGACTTGCCTGAATTTACATGGTACTAAGTCAGATTCTCTGACTCTATTTCTGGTTCTATCCTATATCACCAAATTGCTTTTCTGAGCCTGAACTTCTCCATCTGCAAAATGTGTGATAATACTACCAGCCTAACTACTCACTTTTACTTTAAAGATCAAATTAAATGATGAATATGAAAGTGTTCTATATGTAGGTAACAGCTGTACAAATGTATGAGATTATTACTTCTGTGGGTGTTTGAGCTTATTGATCTGTTAGTCAACAAGCACTTATTAAGTTCCTACTGCATACCAGGCACTGTGCTAAGTATTAGGGATATAAAGAAAGGCATGAACAGCCCCTGCCTTCAAGGAGATCACATTCTAATGGAGAGACAAAATTCAAACACCTGTCTATGTACAAGACATACGGGATAAATTGGAAGTGGTCTCAGAGGGAAAACAGTAATATTAATTGGGACTAGGAAAGGCTTTTTGCAGAAGGTGGGATTTTAGCTGAGACTTTAAAAAGCCAAGGAAGGCAGGAGGTCTAGATGAGGAGGGAGGGCATTCCAGGAATGGGGGACAGCCAGTGAAAATGCCCAGAGTTGAGAGATAGAATTTCATATGTGAGGAACAACAGATAGGCCAGGGTAGCTGGGTGGTACATGGTGGGGAGCTCTGAAAGTGTACATGAAGTGCACAGGAGAGAATGCTTTAACTGCTGGACAGGATCATTTCTATTCTACCCTGAAGGTAATGAGGAACCTCTGGAGCTCACTGAGCAGAGTGCAATGACATGGGCAGACCTGTGCTTTTCAGGAAGGTCATTTTGGCAGCTGAGTGAATTCAGGAGATAGATTGTCCATCCAGCCAATGTGAGGTAGAGAGACAATTAGAAGGTGACTGGAATAATCTGGGCAAGAGGTGATGAAGGCCTGACCTATGCTGATGGCTGTATGAGTGAGAAGAAGAGGATATATATATATATATATATATATATACACACACAC